TATATTTTCTGCTGGGAGTATTGAATATAGATATGGACAAAATTACTATCACAAAAAAATAATTCATATTCACTTCAAATAAATAGTGTATTTTGATATAACTTTTTATTTTTACTTAATTCAAATATAAAACTTCTATAATGAAGTCCAAAGTATCTCTAAACATAATAGCAATTAAATTCCATTCCTCTTATCCATGCATTTCTTGAACCACTGTAGCCATATTATTTAACATGTTTTAGGGATCTTTGGATATTTGGCATATTTTATTATACATTTCCTACATACCATTTCAGTTTCATTAAGATGGAATAATCCCTCCTTAGGTTCTAATCAAAATGTGAAAGATACTTGTTCAAGTGTAGGATTGCTTTAGTCCTTTCTAGGATTTGAAGGAGTTTTAGATAACCCAATTTAGTTTTAGATATATTTTTTCATAGCAAGACAGTGCTTGTTTTTGGAAAGGAAAATCAGCGTAAGGATTTTGCATGATCTTTTAAAATCGGGCTATCTTTAGCTTAACTGCAAGGAAAGAGGCAACTTTGTCTAAAGTTGCTATTCCAAATTTCCTAACTGAAACCAAATTATCACAGCCCTTTCCCTGTTCAAACACACAGTTCTTGACTGTATACAACTGTTTGCTAAGAACCAGTGAACTAGAAATCAAGATCTTTGTAATCTCTTAATTTTATCATTTAAAATGATGCCAATTTGATAGAATGGCATTCTCATTTTCCTCATTTGCTTCATTTTCTTCATTTGCAAAATTACTTTATGATAGTGGAGGGAAGCTGCATTTGGAGAATGTTTATTATGTGCTTTGAGATCATTAAAGCTGATATCACTTTGCATACCAAGTGGTGGTATTCACATCCTTAATATACTAAAGTTCTGATACAATCAACCTTTAAAGAATAATATATCATGACCACCAGTTTATGCATACTTTCATGATGTAAATGTGCCTGCAGTAATTACTCCCTCCTCTGAAATCTTGACATGAGCATTGTGTGTGCCATTCACACTGGGACTCAGTATAAGCTATTTTCTATTGTTATTTATCTGTATATGCATATGTCCTATTTATCCAAACAGATCGTGAGTTCTTGAGAGTGGGGCTGTGTATCCCTAGCTTCTAGCAATGTGCCTTGTACTTAATGGATGCTTAATCAGTCATTGTTAATGATTAGTAGGATGTTCTATCATAAAAACATCCTCTCTAGTCTTCTGTACACGAAATTATTTGTGGGATTTATTCTGTAATCGGAAGGGTGGGGCTTTCAAACAGAGAGGAGCACCCTGTCACTCATTACCTCTTACATCTTTGGTAATCTCCCCATGTGCGTCTGACGTCAATTGAAAAAGAAGCTGGTAATATTTGACCATCAAATATGTTTTGCTGATGAGGTATCTATATCATTGATCATTATATCTGGTTGGTTATTATTTATAAAAAGACTGGCAATAACTAAATTAAAATACCAACGTTTACTTTGTGTAGCTATGCATAATTTTGATACTTTGTTTTCTTTATTTTTCCCAAATTCTACACAATAAAGTATTATTCTTATAATCAGAAAAAGTTAAGTTCTAAGAAAGGTTTTATTTATATTCTAGTAAACAAAAGTATGGAAATTTGTAATGGTATAAATGCTATTCTACACATTATTTTCTCATTAAAATCTAATAGTATAAAATCTTACTGCCAGAATAAATGTTGATGAGAGTGGTACTTAACTGACAATATTTAAAAGAGCAATTCTTAAATCTTAATTGACAATATTTAAAAGAACAATACATAAACACTTTAAACTCTTTTAAGATGCTTCAAATTAGCATAAGAAAACTCCATTTAATTAAAATCTAAAACACAAATTTCTTTGCTCTTCACCTTTTATCAATGAAGTCTGGACTTTTACCTGCCTCCATATTTAGAGGAACTGTAAAAAGGACACAGGCTATTCTAAGCCCACATGAAAACTGTCGAATTAATCCCTGAAAGCCTTAAGGAATGTGCCCACTCTGCACGTTGCTTAGTAGACATGCTTCTATAATTTCTTGGGCATGAATTTCTTACCAGCAAGAATTCAGATGGACCCTTATTTAGTATGAAGAAGTTCAAGACAAATTTTCCCGGATGGATACTTAAAGCTGTTTATTACTGACAACTGCACACTTCATTAAGGCTACTTTGGTGCCCTGATATATTCCTTCAAAATACGACATCGAGGTGATGAGGGATGTCAAGATACATTTGCTTAAAGTAGGTTTCTAAGCAAGATGGAGGCCAGCATCTCTTATCTAAACCTGTTATGCTTTCTGTAAGTTCTTCCTTCATCCCCTCACCCTAGAATCTGTCACAGAGGCAAAACATGATATAGAAAGAGTACATGAGCACAGCTTAGTATCAAAGCCTTTATCTCTGTTATACATTACTTTAGATTGTTGTCATAAGTTGTTCAATCAAAAGGTTTAGTCAAAGCTAACATTCTTTACTGATGTCTTTTTTCCCCAAGAGTGTTGGAAATTTGATTGTTCAAAGTGCAAATATGATTCAGCAAACCATTTATCAGAAATCCTAAAGAAGTAAAGTAAAAAAGTGAATTGAGGAACCTGAATTAAATGGGCTTTACCGGTCAAAGATTTTGAAACTACTTTTTTGTGAGTGACTGGAATAGAGCAGAACAAAGTCAATTACTGACTGTAATTAAGAAGTGGATGCATTTAAACTGTAGAGAGCAGTAGCAGACTTCTCCAGACTGCCTGGTAACTCGAAAGATTAGTGGGAAGACAGAGGAAAGGATGTGAACTGTATCTCTCTGATAGCATGTTTTGAATGAATTGCATTTATATAGCTCTCTGATCTAGCTTCTCAAAATGAATTTGTAAATCACTGATTATGTATGATTAATGCAGTAATATATTGGGACAAAGGAACTTCTAAAATACATTTTGCTTTTGGTTGTGTTAGCAATATAAGATACCCTTTGCATTGCATAGCATGCACCAAAAATGCAAATGCACTGCTAAAGTACTTATATTTTATCACTGTTTGAATTTACTAGACTGAAAGCTGAACTATGTTGGCTCTTTCGTAAACCCTCGTAATATAATAAATCTAATTATGTTTGTTTCTCGTACTTTTTAAATGTTGTTTCTTTTTATAATTTTAATAATGGTTTATTTATACTGGCAGAGAAATATTATATTGTACATTGTGCTTTGGCTAATTCATTTGTCTTTGTGTATGTTTACAAATTATGATGTTAGAAATATTTTCATAATCAAAATATTTACAGGTTAGGATGAAGATAGAGGTTAAGGATATTACTAGTTTTCTTGTATTAGTTAGAAAATATCTTATATTTTTAGATTACAATTTCTGAGGCAACACTCTATAAAGTAAACATTTGGAACTTTATCTGAGTAGAGAACATTGCAGTGGTGTTCAGATAATTAGGCAAACATCACCTTAGCTGTCTTTTACTGAATACATAAAACAGAAGACTGTTTTGAGCCATCCTAAATCTTATATGCAGTATCATTTTAAAAAGAGAGAGAAAAAATGATTGGCCCCAGTGATCTGTCAAAGTCTAGTGTGGGCAATTAAATCCTATTATTTTTCAATCTTTCACTTCTTATAATTGCATACACTTTAGACAGTTGCTCTCCTTACAGTTTTAGAGACCACACTTGATATTGGAACCCATCTCAATCAACAATGGTTGCTTTGCAGTACTGATTAATGTTGAATCTCTATAGAGTTTCTCTAAAAACAAATGGCAAATGAATATATGTGCAAATATGTAACAGATTTCTTTAGAAACCCCAAAATCAGTGTCATTAAATGCTGCCATAAGAATCCTTGAAACCTTCAGAATGAGCCATTTGGGGTAATAATTGTCACTTTAATGATAGAATTACAGAGATGGCCTAAAGCATGATTTGTGATTTTCTGAACCTGTGCCACATTTCAGCGTTCACCTCCTGTTTAGAGCCAGGAAGGCTGAGAAGAGGTGACTGGCTCCTGATTGAGTATTTTGAAATGTCAGTCCTCTAAACCTCTGAACTCTATGTGACAGTAGTTGGGAAATGTTCATCTTCCTGTTGCAAGAAAAAGTCAGTAATACAAAGGGAAAATCTCCACAGTTCAGATTGATGGCCAAATACAAAAAGTGTGTCCACACCCACTCTAATCAATTTTTTCTCTAAATAGCCCTTTATGTGTGAAACTTAGACTATTTCTCTGTTTCTATAAGGTCATATCCTTTTCTCACAAGTCTGAGGAGAAAAAGATTCACTGTAATGAAAAATACACAGTTACATGCTAAACATTTCCAACTACTTAGCAGTGCTGAGAGTCAGGAACCTGGATGTTCATTTGATAAATACTCTCCCAGAGAGGTTCAAATATGTAAATAAACTTTTATTTTAATATACTTCTTTTGTGGGGAAATATTTTTATTACTTTCCTATAGATCTGTGATAAGAAAGTAGAAATAATCAAATGTTATTCATCTAAATGACCTTTTGTAAGTCTGCAATTAGACTTTTTGGTAAATAATCTGTTTTAGAGCCCTCCATAAAAGGAAATCAAATATAGAGATACTATTAGATTTGAAAAGACAGACAGGAAAGAGGCGAACGTGCAGAATGAATTCTGACACACCCGGTGCATTTTTTCTGCGGGTTCTGACTTAAGTGTGTACTGTCTGCAGTTCTCTGAACTTCCTGGCTTATTTCTCCTTAAGTTGGAGTAATTCAGCTTTAGCTGTACTCTGACTTAATCGTTCTATTATTAAAACAATAATGTATTTGTTATGACATGAAAAAACAGTTTAGAGAGAGCAGTTCGAAATGCTCCCAGTTCCCAGAAAGACAATTACTGGAATACAAGAAAATATTTCAGTGTATTAAACTGTGTTTTTTAAAAATGGATTTTTGCATGTAAGAGATTTATCTTACATAATTTCTTTACCTGTCGATTTTTTATTTTTCAGATCACAACAGTATCAGGAAATGAGTTCCTTCTACAGTCAGATATTGACTTCATCATATTGGATTGGTTCCACGCTATCAAAAATGCAATTGACAGATTGGTATGTATTTGTTTTGGCTGTTACCTTTATTAATTAAAATGTAGTCATTTAAATCTTATTGCTCAGGCATATAACACACACATTTAAATAGATCCTATGGACTGAGAGAATTTAAATTCTTTTAGTTTAAATAGGTTCCACTAAAAACATTTTCATCAGGCAGGATTTGTAGAACTAAATGTCATTTAATTTCTCTCTTTCAAAAATGTAGTGCATTCTTACATTTTTTTTCTGAAATAACACAGACATTCATTTACTGGAGGCTGTAAAAAGCACACAAGCACTTAATAACTACTGAATTTTTTCATTTTCAGTTTGTGCAGTCCATAGTGCAAATTCCTGAGAATAAATATCAATATATGTAAGACCACACTCACTGTTATAATACCAGTAAACAATAACCCTTTGTACTGATGTTTATTATTATTCCAGCTAAGCTAGATTGTTCTTCTCATGAAAATTACACATCTAGAACTTCATGAAATTATCCTAAAACATGCATTCAGAGTATGTTTTTTAAGAGTGAACTTATTTAAAACCACTCATTTCATACTGAGACTCTAGAGCATTTAATTTTAGAAAACTAATATTTGCAAAATTTTGAGAAAAAATTGTTCTTAATATGGAATACAATAGGATAGTAAAAGATTTTCTGTGTGATCTCCTTGACACTTAGTTGCAGGCTTTAATTATATTCATTTGGGGACTAACACTTTAAAAAGTAAGATAACAAATTAACTTTTCCCATTATCAGTAACCCCCCCTTAAAGGGGTATGTGTGTGAATGTGTGTGAGTGCACATACACACATACACACAAGTACACATAGTTTGTTGTCATTGAGGGTGGACTCTGGGACCAGACTGCTAGAGTTTGAATTCTGGTTATTTGCCACCTGCGTGGGTTTAGGCAAATTGCTTACCTATTTTGGCCTCATTTTCTTCATGAGGAAAACAAGGATAATAATAATACCACCTACTCTATAGAATTGTTGTAATGATTAATTGAATTATTCATGTATAGTGCTTAGCATTTAGTAAGTACCATATACATATATAAACTATTATTTGAGTATTGAGCTCAGCATAGAGGACATATCCCCAAAGAATTTTCATATTTCAAATTTCCCCATAAACACCAAAATAGACCATAAAACTATATGGTGAATCCTTTATTCTGGGTAAAATTATTTAGTCTAATTAGTTGCTGTTTCCAGCCAAAGGATTCAAGTTGTCCATCAAGAAACCTGGAATTATTCAAAATCCAAAGATCCTCCAGCACTGAATTGCTAAGTCACTGCGACAGTGATATAAAAGAACAGAAACCAGAGCACAGAAAATCTTTAAGTGAGTATTTTATTTGACTTGCTCATTTTAAGTTTGTCTAAATGCAGTGCTTATGAAATATAAATGCTTTGAAATGAGATTTAAGCCAAACTCATTGTACTCATAGAAGATTCGTAGCTGTTTCCTGGACAGGGATTCATGCACTGGAGGGCAGTCTGGGCACTTTGCTCACATCATTGTTGGTAATGCCTTTTGAGAAAATAATTGTTCCAAGGTCATGGTCTCTGCTTACAGCAAACCTCTGAATCTCTGAGTAATAGCCATGGTGTTCAGATCGGTGATTGATTTTGAAAGTGGGAAATGTCAAGCGTCTCCAACCTTGGTATCTTGACTATTTTATTTGCATATATTAAAGGATATGAGTGATCACTAGCATTGGTCTAACTTAAGTCAACAGGCTATGCTACTTTCCATACCTTCAGACCACCAGAAAGATTTAGAAACATACTTTCAGAGAGGCTGAAAATGTGGGATATGAATTAAATGTTCTACAAGGTCACACCTAGTTCTAATATCCTAAAAGAATTGAATTTAGAGTAAAAAGAATATTCTCACTACTTACATAATGATCTTGAGTACCATTCTTAACTGTTCCTGAGATTGCTTTTTCCTCAATGAAAAGGGGTTATAAATATGTCACACCTATCTCACAAAGTTGCTTTGAGTCTCAACCTCCCGAAAGAAGAGGAAGACATCTTTGGAAACAGAGATAACCTATTTTCCAAGATCTTAAAAATTACAGTATTTGGGGGGTTCTTCTACCTAGCTGACCCCAATCTTGAGAATCTCCATTTTTTCCCTATGACCAAAGATCAGTATACTGACATCCTAAACTTTTGAATTTAAGGAGCACTCAGTAAGTTGAGAAGAGCTGCTAATAGAGTGTACACACACACACACACACACACACACACACTTATTTGTGCTAGATAATTATTTGTGTACATATACATATATCTGTGCATTAAGAAAGATATATATGTATATGTATGCACATACACGCACACAAACACTCATACACATATGATAGGGAAGAGAGAAGCTATTTATATGTGATAACATATTTTCCAAAGCTGAATTACTGAAGTCTACAAATCTAGAAATTGCATGAGAATTTAAGAGTAGAAGCACCCTTTGAAATTAAGTTTTTATGCAAAAACTCATGCCATAATTTTCAATAACTGCTAGATACATTTACCTAGCTAGTTGTGCAAGTTGGAGTTTAAGATTATCAATGTTAATGTCTAGAAGATGCATGGTGTGTTTGTGGAGAGTTAACAATGCCATTTTAAAAGACTTTTCCATATAATGGTATAGTTTAGAATTATTTCATTTAAAGAATGTTTTTGTTTCATTCCTAATCATTGTCTTCTTTTACTTCATATGGTTTGAGACATAAGCTAAGATTTCAGAATTGGGATTCAATTGGGGATATATATTTAGTGTTGATTATGTAACATTTTGTAGTACATATAAAAAATATGTGATGCAATGACTAGTAAATCTGGAATCTTAGATATAATTGCTGGTTTGGAGGAGACTTTAACATGTTTCTAAAACCTGAAGCTATGGAGAAAATTACAGTTTGCAAAAATGTATTTGAGAAACATTGAGGATAATGAATTCTGTATTGAGTAACAGTCACTTTAAAAGTTTTAAGAGACTGCTGGAAAAAAATCCTACAGACAGAACACTCACTACTTTTTTTTGGAATTTATTTTTAATTGGGAAAGACAATTGTTTTTCTACTTTGAGCTTAAATTCAATTCTACTTGAAAACAAGGGAAGAGATACATGATTTATTCTATTCATTTCAAAACATAACTAATTGTACAATGACTTCATACTCACCTTTTACTTTGAAGTTAAAAAAATAACTAGAAAATGTAAAAATATTTACTGTGCACCAGGACTGTTTTAAGTGCTTGCCTTAGACTGATACATTTAATCCTCTCACCAACCCTGTGAGGTAGATACTATTAGTAACCCTATTTCATAGATGAGAAAACTGAGACATGAAGAACTAAGAAAATTTGTACAAAGACAAGTTATGGAGACATGTTTCAAACCCCAAGAGTCTTATTTTAGAGCCTGTACTTTTAACTATGACACTATAATAAAGTGAACAAGTAAAAGGTAAACTCAGTTTATATCAACCTTAGACTTGGATAGAAATAGTATGTTAAAAATTAAATTAATAGAAATCAGTAAACTTAAGTCAGGACCCAAACACTTATTGACAAAAATAATTAAAACTGGGTGTTTTATTTCAATTTTGATTTTACTATAAAATAATAATTTAATCTTTAATATTAGCTCTAATTTTAGAAAATGCTTATTTTCTGTATCTTGGTGAGTATGTTAGTTATAAGCCTTTTTTTTTTTTAGGGCCAGTATGTTTTTTGCAATGTAGGGCACAGTTAATATCCATCTATTACTTTGAATTAACTTCATTCAATATGTATGTATTCATTTTCATTTGCAAGGCATAATGATTGACCCACACACACAATATCAAATTTGACCATGAGACAGTGATTGACGTATTTTTTATATGTGATGCTTTTTAAAACATTTTTTTTCAAGTAGGAAATCTTTGTGAAACCCATATGATCTCAGTGCTAGATTTGAACACCCAAACTTAGGTTTCTTAAAACATGCATTCAGTTTTATGTCACCCTCTGGAGATTAAATAATTATGCAGAATCAGAGACTCACAGTATCCTCTTCCTTATTAGTAGTCTAAGCACAAACTTTATTGTCAGTTTTCTGCCTTTGGCTTCCTGTTTCCTTGATGTTCCCATAAGTTTTGCCTCCAAGATTGTAGATAGATAAAGCCAAAATTATTTTTTAAAAGGCATGTGAACATCATTAGCAGCTAACAGGTGGTCATTTCATTGTCCAGTTTGTCTATATAACATGGGAAAAATATGTTCTCTCAATGAGTGAATTCAGAAAGTTATGTTTACATATACTTTCCTTTTAAAAAATATGATTTTAACCTGCCAACACTATTAAGAACTAATCAGATATTTTAAGATATCAGTTGAGTCTAATGGACAAGAAGCCAGAAAATTTAATGCAAGGGCCAGATCACTGTGGGAAATTCAAGACATCAGCCTGGGATGAGAGTAGGAGAGCAGCTCTCCAGGGAGGGCTATTATGGAAAGAGGAGAGTCAATCAAAGAAGATGTGAACATATTTCTCTGAGGAAAGAGAATTGTCTTCCACTGACAGCAAAGAGGGGGAAGGCCCAAATATAATAAATCCTGCGTCAAATAACCTTGGCGAAGTTTCTTAATTTTTCTGAGCTTTACTCTTCAGGTCTGTAAAAATGGGTCTAATACTGTCCTTGCAGGATCTGTGAGAATTTGAAATTAGACCTGTAAATGCTTAGCTCACAGCAGGCACTCAGGAAGTAGGATCTCTTACTATTATCCTCCATTTCCCCAAGCAGATGGCACTGGAACAGGGCTTGAGCCAAGGGTGGTGTTTGACAAAAGACTGGAGTAGGGCATGTATGCATGCCATCCCACTCCCTGAGTATACAAAAGGTAGGAAGAGGGTGCCAGAATTGGATATGGGAGTCACAGCTGCAAAAAATATAAGCAGAAGCAGCTGGTCTTTCCCTTGGCAACTCCATGTGAAAGGGGCAAGTAGGGGACTCTTGGGAGCAGCACACCAGGAAACAGTAGAAAGGGGCAAAGAAACACTCTTGATTCTCCTAAACCCAGAAGAGTCTGTCGTTCAGAAGTTCAAGTTGATGGGAAGGATTCAGCATTAGCCATGTCATTACTCCTTTACACAAAGCTCTAGTTTATTAATTCATGCACACATTCATTCTTTTTCATGAACAAATACAACTAAAATTCTTGATTTCACTCATCTGTGCTTTCAATTTTTAAACAACTTTTTGTATTTAGGTTATGCTTTAGTAGTAATATATCTCATGCCTATCAATTGCTAAACTGTAAACTCCATGAGTGTGGAGACCTTGGATAACTTGAATATAAAATTAACACTTTAGTATCATAAATAAACACCCTGAAATGAGCATGAGTTAGAGACTAAAGTCAAAAGGTAAAAGAGCTAAAAGGAAATGAATTTTCCTTTAGCCGTTTTTTTGATTAAGTTATTATAAAAAAAACAAATACGTTCTTGGTGAAATGCCTAAATGCATTTGGATGTGGATTTCCCAAATCTATATCCCCTTAATGATGTGTGCAATAAGGCAACAGAAAGAAAGAAATAAAAAACTTGAATTAAGATAGTTATAAAATAAAAATTAAAATGCTACAGACTGTTAACTTGTCTTTGTTTTAAAAATTTGCCTGTGAAGTATATGACCATGCCAAATGAAAACAAGTTTCATAGAGAAGACAGTAATTTTGTGTACTAATCTAAATAATTATAATACTGGCCTTCTACAATATAAGTAAGTTATGCTCTAAAAATTCAACTGTAAATCGGTTGCTTAGACCTTGATATATTTTCACAAGGAAACCATGTACCAAGCCACAAAAGCACGCTTGAACCTTCTGCAGTCACTTAGAATGTTGTTTCTAGGGAATAGTTCATTCTGAATTTGCTGCACCTCCGGCCCTGAGAGCTAAGACTTCCCAGTAGCATTGCTTTCAATCTGGTTTCCCATCTCCTTCTCCCCACTTCTGTACCAGTTCCACCAAAGCAATTAGGAGCCTCAGAATGACTTTGGCTAGGATTCTCCTGGTGCCTGAAGGTCCCCAGCAGTAGCAGGGAGAAAATTTAAAGCCTCTAAGCCAAAAGAAGCCATAAAAAAAGGAGAGAATGCAGGGCTAAGTAGGCATTTTTGCCACATTGATGGGAAGCGAGTTCTAAGCAAGACATACGTTCTTTGTAAAAAGTATGTGCAATGACAGATCAAGTCTGGACTTGTCCCAAATATAAACATTCGATGAATCTACGTAATGCATATGCAAGTGATCATGATCCTATTGTTTCATCTCTTTTTTGTATGTTTC